TTTTTATCAATTTCAATATTTCATGTGTAGCAGAAATTCTAGTTTTTTAGCTAACAACTTTTGTGGCATTCTTTTTATGGCAATAAAATTTCAAAAATATATACAATATCTCTTCCATTTTATGCATCGAAATAAACCCAGTTTTAGGCAATTATTGATTTCAAAGTATTTTAAATTAAATTAAAAAATAAAAAAGTGTTCATCAGAATAAAATTTTTATTCATATCTGCATATTGCCAATCATGGCTGTCCGAAAAAATTAATATATAAACACTTTAAAACAAATATTTTCATTTTATTTAAAATGTAGGCTTTCAGCTTAATATTAATTTATTTAAAATGGGCAAAAACAAATCTTTCCATCTAGAAGAATAATTTGTGAATAAGTTAACATTTTAATATGATTGTTTAAATTTTGGAAAAATTGTTTTCAGATAAAGTGAATATGATTCCAAAAATTTTCAAAGAGCTTACAAAATTTCGATATGGTAAAAAAGTTGTTGCTTGAACCTTTGTCTTGCCGAGGTGGGTGCAAAAAAAAAATTAGAAAAAAATGTTGTGGTTGCACAAAGTTTTGCACAAGCTTTGCACAAATCGAGCGAGTGAAGCGCAAAACCAAAAGAGTGAAAAGTGGGCAAAATGTTGGCAAAGCGGGCAACTTTGCTTGCTTTTGTGTTGCAACTTCGTTTGCGCCCATTTGAAATTCATAAACGTGTGTGTGGCATATATTAGCATTACTTGTGGTGCATACATTTAGGCGCAGGCAGTCAGGCAGCCAGGCAGCTAGGCAGGCAGGGAAAATCAAATGCGCACAATTGCTTATGAAATTGAGCAAACGAAATGGAAATTCAAATGGCAACTAATGAGTCGCCACTCCAAAGCCGACAAACCCTGTCACGCCAACTTCTATTTACTAATTTAAAGTTGGCTATAGCTAACCTATCATGTTCGCCAACACAAACTCATCAGCCTGTCTTGCTAAGGCATAGTCAATCAGTCAACAAGTCGAGCCACAGAACAAGCCATTAAAATGCTGTTTAAAGTGGGCGGCGAGGCGAGTGTGATAAACAACGATGCGGCAGACAGAAAAAAAAAAAACAGAAAAAAGACGAAGCAAAAAAAAAAACAAACTTTACAAAACTGCCAAACAAGTTTGTGTATAAGTGCTTAAGGGGGACGAGTAACAGAAAGTATAAAAACCTGACAGCGAAATTGAAGGCAAATGTTTGGTGCAAGTTGGGCAGAGTTTAACAAAAAAAAAAAAAAAAAAAGGAAAAAGTGTCCCCGGGGCGCATTTGAGTGAACGAGGGAGGAGCAGCAGGCGTGGCCTTGCGCCAATCTTTAATGCGACCCTCGCACCTGTTAGGCACCACGTGTAAAATGCTGCCAACGGCAGTTTGACCCTCTCTGATGCTCCCTTCCTCCCTCTCAGTTTCTTTCCTTCTCCCCACCTGTATTGCTTTATATCCTTTTGTGCTCGCATGTAAATTGAAATGGGGCCAAAATGCCATTAAGAGTGTCGAGCAAAGCAAGTGAACAGGCTCCCAGTTTATGTACATTAAATTAAAAATTAACTGTCACTGGGGATATATTGAGCCGAGCAACAGGCAATAATAGTGACTTGAATTAACTGTAACCAGATGCGTCATTCTCCTTTGAGAGACAATTTTTTAAAACGAACAGCTACAGTTGCATTAAAGATAATTCCCTTACATTTAAAAATATGGAAGGCCAGTATCTCTGCACTGGTTTTTAGATCGAGATTTTATTGTAATAGATTTTAGTGAAATGGCAGCTGCTATCAATTGTTCGAGATTTTTGTATCTTCTTGTGATGTTGACAGCAAACTTAGAATGTGTAAACAACATTTATTGAGCTTAAAGTCATTCCTCACTCTGTTCTGTAATCGAATCCTTTGCAGGAGCTTGTGTTCATTTATTTGCAAGTTTCACTTACATTAGATTTGTTGTTAATTGATCAATGCCACATGTGCCAACACTTTTGCCCAAGCAGCAAAGTAAATAAATTTAATTCTTATTTTGGGTTGAGTCCTGGGACTAAAACTTTCAGCATGTGCTGGCTGCTTGAAAGGGCAGCCTTGAGTTCGGTTGCTCCATGCCCCATACCTGATTTGAGCCGTTGTTGTTTCCATCGCTATGTTGCCGTGTTGCAATAACAAACTCATGCTAATTGCTTTGCTAACAACTGGCAACGACAACTTGGGTTTGCCCTAAGACCAATGCCAAAGCGCAGCAGCAAACTATAAATATTGCCCGAATGTGGCAACAACAAGTTGCAACTGTAGCAGGAGCACGCGTCCAAGTCCTGTCCTGGCCGGGCCCGGAGCAGCCTTTAATTACGACAGTAGGACACCGCAATGCCCAACTAGTTGCACACACACACACTCTCTCTCTCTCTCTTTCTCTCTCTCTCTCCCTCCGTCTGTCCGTCTGTCTGACACACACATTTACACTTATATAACTTGTGAAGTTGACCAGAGGATGCAGGACGATTGACCTCTGCAGCTTAGGAATGGCTTGCTGCTGTTGCAGACTGCTACTGCGACAGGTGCAAGGATACTGTTCAACTGTGCGATATAAATTTGCACACGAACTGGCGATAATTGCTGGGAAATTAAATAAAAATGCAATTAAAGACGACAACGTCGCGATGTTGGCAACTCGGGCAAAAGTCCTCGTTGAAATGAGCATTCAATTAAGAACCAAGCATAGGAGGAGTGCTGAGTGCAGGAGACTGGCCAAGGCCCAGGACTCGGTTGTCATGGGCATACACTTGATGGCAGCCCTGCCAATGCCATCGTCGGCATTTATAAAATGATTTTTATCTTTATCAAATTAGAAAACGACAACAGCAATGGCGATATCCAGCTCCCTCTTCTACTATCCGCCACCATGCGCAACTCTCCTAAATTATCCAGTGCGACCAATTTCCAGCTCCAGTCAGCCGTATCTGCAGTGTCACAGCAATTAAAACTGTGCTGTGGCATAGTGCAGATTACATCGGAGAATGGCCTGAGAGGGAGGCGAGAGGCATGGGGCAGGCCTCTTGGGCCATTGACGGTCGGTGAACAACTGCTAAATGCTTTGAAGTTTATTTCCAGATTCGCAAGTCTGCTCAGTGAATATATGCATGCGAAGTGGATCTAAATTGTAAGGGCCGCATAAGACCGGGGGCGTGTTCTGGCAGCTCCTCAATGGGCTTGAGGCTAAATGATATTGGCCTGTTAGGTGTTAATTAAGGCTAATTTCAATTGGTATTAAAAATGTTATTAAAAATCATTTTGTTTTCAAAACTGCAGCAGATGAAATTGCTTGCACCAAATAGCTTTAAGGTGAATTAAACATGAAAGTCATGCTCAAACTGTTACGTACCTCTTATGCGTAATTATCTTTTCCAAAATTGTTTTATATATTTAGCTATTTATAACTTTCTACAGAAAACCTGTAGTAGCACCCTTTAAAGTCTTTACCAACTGAAACTCGATGGATATTCACAATGCGCTCACTCCAACTTATCAGGTATCTTTCAATAAAACCTTGCAGCTTTTTAATCTTCTTTGCTTGCCCTTCAATTCTTAAAACTCAAGACTACATTCCAAACTGTCTTACCCCCTCATCCTATCTGTTCTGAAAAGCTCATTTATTGCATTTGATTCACTCAGCGGGGGTTTCGATCTGATTTTTTTTCTTTGGTTCTTTTGCGCAACATTTTCTTATGTGTATTTTGCCAGTGTCTATAGCAGTGGCATTGGTTGGCTTTTCTGGTGTCTGGTGGTTACTGGTGCTCCACTCGCAACGACAAGGATTATGCAAAAAGTTTTTCATTAATGTTGGATTTAGATATTTTTTCACGCTTTGCAGCACTGGCCCTTGCCGCTGTTGCCCGGTTATTCGCACGGTTGCCTTTATTTTCGCGTTGGCTTGTTGACAACGCAACTTTTGGGTCCCAGGATACGTTAACTTTTGTGCAGTGCTGCTGCTCGGCACAGTGCAATGAAAGCTGCCACCAGCAACAAACAGCACCGACAAACAGCGATATACCGACAAACATTCAGCAACAAAAACCACCACAACACAGAGCTGCCACGTGAAGCGGGTTGCAACAAAAAGGTTTTTGCAGTTGCTATTTTGAGAGCAATATAAATTAGTGTATACGCATTAATCTGATTTGGGATTGAGCTTTGTTATAGCCAGCACACGACCAATTTCCGAATATATAAAGGTTAATTCCAGTCTAGGTAATCTATGTTTAAAATGTTTATTTAATTAATTTTCTATGATAGAAAGAATATATTTCATAATGTCAAACAAATTGTTACGTTATCCTTGTCTATACACAATTTTTAGATACTATCTTAAAAGGGTCTTTAAATATCGATTGTCTTATAATATCATAGTGGCATTGGAAACAGATTAGTACCAAACTCTTTTCCAAAAATATATTTAAACCAAATCGTTCAGTGTTTTTTCCCCCCTCGTAGTCGAATCCATTTTTTGTTAGAACTTTTTTAGTCTATTCTTTTATATAAATTGTTTTTTTTTTTAACGGAGCTTGGTTAGTTTTGGTGGTTGATTCTTTTGCGACACTTTTGCTGCTTTGTAGTGCAAATTGTTTGGTTTGGCTCCGCTTTTCGCTGTGGTTTCTTTTTATATTTCTTGGGTTTTGTTTCCTTTTGTGGCGTTTTCGATTTGTCTTCCCACATCCGCTAGACCGGCGACCTCTCCCACCCGTTATTCGGTCCCTTATTGCACATGCTTCACGCTTGCATTTATTTGAGTGTGTAAAGTTTTCTTACTTGCTTTTTTTATTCTTTTTTTTTCTTTATTTGGTTGAGGAGATTTGGCTGCTGCAATTTCACAGTTTTTACTCTTCCTGTTCCCGTTTTATGCCAACTTTGATAGTTTTGTCAAAAGTTTTTATTGCGATTTGTTGCAGTCGTGTAAAAGTAATGCCACCAAAGAAAAAACTGAAATCCCCAATTGATATTTTGGTGTGTAATGAAAAAAATGTTAGAGCTAACTATAAGGACGTTGCCCTAAATCGCGCTTAAAGATTTATTGGCTGCTGCCTCTTTTCGTTATCTAAGGGAGCGTAGATGGCTCACTATCTATTGTTATCACAATGCTCGATGACCACCACATCGCCGTAATTGGGCGGAGGCGTTTCCGGGCGTGCTGCTCCTCTCTCCACAACGTCCGTGTAGAATCTAGTAGTTGCCGCTGGTGGAGTTTCTGGGCTACTTGGCTCCCGATCGCGATTGCTGAACAGATTACTGCGGCTCAGGCGTCGAATGAGCGTTGCTGTATTCTGGTTAATTGTGCGATAGTACTGATGCCTTGCCGGGCGCCCAAACAGACGCGAGACAAAATTATCCTCGGGCCCATAAGGCTGCCGCACCAGAGCCCGCGAAGGAACGTTCCGGTAACGCGGATTAGAGCGACGCGGATTGCGAGTGCGCGGAGGCGACCAAGTGTGAATCGTGGGCAGTTGCTGTTCCGACGAGTCCAGTGTGGCTGAGAAAAAACAAATGTATAAGTTATATTGGAAAATAGACAAATAAACTGATCGCTTTATCAAATATCTTTCAAACGTACAAAAATTTAAAACTCTTATAAAAATGAAAATTTATTTAATTGTACCTGAATCTTTTTCATAAATTAGCTTTTCACAACACTTGAAATCTGTAAGATAAATTAACTGCGAAGTACGCATTTAGTGTACCCATTTAATTTAAAATTGAACTCTATTAAGTTTAAGAAATTAGTATGGCTTTTCACTCTATTCAGCTGTTTTCACTTGTGCTTTAATTAAATGAACTTTAACAACTTACAAGTGTTGCTCTGCGCAGTTTGTTGCCGTTTCTTTCGGACGTCGCAGCCGCTTTTCACACAGAGTGCAAAGCTGATTATGAATATGACCATACAGATGCCAGTGGCGCCTCCCACTGCAAATGCCAGCTTGACATCGTCCTCGTCAAAGATGTGCGTGCTTTGCACCTGGTCTGGCGGCTGAACAGCTCCGCCAGCGAGCAACTCGTGACTGACACGCTCCAGGCAATTGCGGTAGCGCAGACAAAGCTGTTCGCGATTACCTTCACAAACGTCGATAAGTGTTGATAGCTCCTCCTCTTCTTCCTGGTCTAAATTCTGTTGTTGCTTCTCCTCATCCAGCTGTTGCTCTTCTGAATCATCGGGTAGCTCTCGCCACACAGTCGAGACAGATTTGGGAGCATCATTGCTGCTGCTGCTACTCGCATCTAAGTGCTTCATGCTTTCCATCTTAAGTGGCTCGACAGCGGTGTCCTCAACCTCCACATCGAGTGGACGTGACTCCAGCCTCTCCTCCAAGCAATCGCTCATGCTGACGGCGACGCCTCGCAAGCTGAGCCAAGTGGCGACCTTAATCAGTGCTCGATCGCAGTTAAGTGGATTCTCTTCCAGGTTAAGAGAGGCCAAATAGCGTGGAGCATGAAACACATTGATACTGAGTGTCAGCAGCATATTCTGTGCCAGATCCAATTGTCGCAACTGTGGTAGAGCACTGAGCAAACTTACGCCCAGCTGATTGATCTGTGCATTGCGTAGATTGAGGGTGCGCAGCGATCTGCTGCGGAGCAGTGGAGAGTTTTGCAGAGTGGCCAGCTTATTGCCCTCCAGATTGAGGTGCAAGAGCTGTGAGTTCGATTCGAACAAATGTTCATCCACCTGCTCCAGCCGATTGTAGGAGAGATCCAAAGAGCGCAATCGTCGCAGTTGAGCAAACGCATCCACGTGCAACGTGTGGATCGCATTGTGGGCCAGCGTGAGATTGATAAGATGCACTGTGATCTATTTAATGGGTGGATATTGATTTGGTTAGCATTTAGTAGTCACTTATTACTCACAACTGTAACCGTGAAACTCACCTCAAAAGAATCCACGTCAATGTTGGTGATATCATTATAACTCAAGTCCAAAAGCTCCACTGTTTTGGGCATTTCAATGTTGGCGCTTATCAAACGTTTAGCGCTAAGTAAATAGATATTAAAAGTAAAAGTGAAAGTAAATTATTCATTCTTTCTCTCACCTACAAATGGCTCGATTTCGCTGTGCATATAAATCACACTGACAAACGCTGGGACAATTGAGCTGCAGTTGGGTCTTGCTGCGACAGACCTGGAGAACAACGCAGAGCAGCAGACCCACATAAAGCAAAATCTGCTTAAGGCCTAGCCACATTTTTGGCTGGATCATGCATTGTAGTGCCATAGATATTTGTATCCACTTCAATTGATGGACATTGTGCAATGTCCTAGTAAATTTATTACTTTTTTTAATATAATTTTTATGCTGGAAACACCTTTCGATTGTGGACTAAAAACTGAATTAAGAACTTGCTTCGAACTTTTTCAACCATGACTAACTGAGGCGCTGCTTCCAATGGTCGAGCCTATCAGTCCCCTATGATATTGTTCTGTTTATTAAGAAAATTCGTGCAACCTGCAGATATGCTCGATGGGTGACTGTAGCGCAGTTTTTCCAGTGCGATAAGATAAGCGAAGTGGAGCTTATCGATGCGGTTGCTGGGAGAAATGCAGGCAGGGGCTTCTTTGTTTGCCTCAAACTGAGTGAATGGAAGCCCCAGCTGTTTGCTATTTCTGTCAAACTTTTCTACACAAAATAATAAAGAGACATTTTTATGATACAATTTAACAATTGGGTAGCTATTCATAAATTAAATTCTTTAATCGCTGTTGTTTCTTTATAAAAATATTTATAAGTTTAAAATCAACAGAGAGATAGTTTTAGTTTAATATAATTTCGAATTGTTAATTCTAAGTAACCGATAGATATCAAAATATATAAATTAAAATCTAAAATATTCTATAATCTTGGAAATTGGTCTAAGCTAGTTTGTATTTTGGAAGTACTCGAACGTAGTCCCACTTGTTTGGGGGCTTAACCGATACAAAAATTTACGATGATAATTTAAAAAAAACTACAACGACGATAACAACGGCAAGACGATGATAACGACAAATTAGACCTGCTGAACATAATGCTCATAAAGAAAAATTACTCATTGAAGATTAACGACACTTTTTGTGCTTTATTGGTGTTCGTAGTCGACAGTCCACCTGACTGAATAGTAGAAATGCATTTTAGTTTTTACTCTTTATTTACACCTGTAATGGACACTTGTACATGGTATTGAGACGCGTCACATCAGCAGGGCTGAGAACGGTCCTTTGTCCCATTTCGGATTTACCATCTGGATGCAGTGCGATAATTGTTTCTTTTCCATTCTTTGAGAAGGCCTTCGGGCCATAGTGCAATATGCTACCGTAGTCATAGGCCACATCAAAGTCTCCCACCACATCATAATCGTACTTTAGGAAATTCTTTTCCTTTCCCTCTGAAATGTTTTCCTCGACAATTTGGACAAAATCATCGCGGTTTGGGGAGCATTGTTGATGATGGAAGCCCAAAGTGTGTAGCAGCTCGTGTTGTATGGTGCCCAATCTGAAGCAACCACTATCCAAATTGTTTGCTGTCAATCTGAGGTTCTGTTCTCCGCCACGATATCCAACAGCGGAACTACAGCCAGATTCCGAATCGAAGATATATACATAGTTTAAGTTTTCTTCACTGGCTGGCATAAATCGTATGCAGGACGCAAGTTCAATTAGCTGCATTCCAAGTTCAATATAAGCAATATGTGCTGCATCTAAAGAAACGATTGCGCATTAGAGGCAACGATTGTCATAGAATGTTCAGAGCCTACCGAATTCCTTATCGATCTTGTAGTAGACTGTGGCATTGGGCCAGTGTCGAGTCGTGGCTAGTACTCCGTTCCGTGTGAGCTCCACATCCATATCACCTTGAAAGTAACCAGCCGTTAGTTCCGGATCAGTTTCCACCTCATGCCTCATGACGGGTCCAGCAATGGCGCCCAAGCACAGGCAACCCACGACCAAAAAACCATACCGAATCCACAGTGCGACCATTTTACACTAATTCATTTAAAAATTTGCACTAAGAAAATTTAGCTTAATTATTTATTATCAGAAAGAACGCGTTTGATAACGGCCTCTTAATCAAGATTGGAAAATATGTTTGATAATCGTATGTTGATTGGACAAAATTTTTAAAGATAATTTTGTTTAAAAATCAATAAGAATGGTTTCGTCGAGAGATGGTTTCGTCGAGAGATGCCTTGAAACCATTGTTAAATACGAAGTAGGCTTGCAGAAAATTTGTTTTACAGTTGGTCAATAATATGACGAAATATTCTTTATCAATTCAATGGCTCAATATTTACAATTGTGTCTTTTATTGCTATCAGAAACCGCTTCGCAAAATTGAAGCTATCGATCAAGTAATGCGTTGGCTTATATTATAAATTGAAGTATCTTTCAAAATTGTTGATTGAGAAATTTTTAAGAATGTATATAATAAGTTTGGATATGCTAATTTGCTCCAGTTTTTAAAATGTCAGCTCAGCGCTTATGCGGCTGGTAATCAAAGTGTTTATAATTGTTTTTCTTTATAAGATGTTATGCTCGCTCTATATTGGGCTCCCAAAGTGCGATGCGTATACATGAGCTGTATATACAAATATATTTATTATATATATAGTCATAGTTTCCCTATGCTAAATATCCAAAGGATGAGTACTCTTAATTAGATCAGTCTTGGCTCTTATATATAAATAATCAAGCCACCTGCTACTCTTACATTCTTTGGTATTCCCAGAGCTAATGTCGCACAAATAGAGAGAGGGAGAAAGAGCTGCACGATGTATATGCTGTCGGAATGAAACACTTCTATCCGCTGCATCTGCATCCAGCGACAGCATCTGCAGGCCAAAAAATATCCAAAAAAAAGCAAAATTAGAAAAATAATAGATGAGGAAAACTTGAAGTCCGGCCTGAGGCCAGTAGCTACGACTTGATCGTTAGCTAGGACGAAGGCGACGCTGGCTGGGGGCTACTTAACAGCACAGCTTGCGCTTCCGCACTGCTTCAGTTTCCACAACAATGTGGCCCAAGATGTAATGGCCGCAAATCCACTTGTCTGCGCTGAACCACCCCGCTTCATGGCTGCCCCTTTTTGCTGTGCTCGTCCGTTTGCGACTTGCTTCCGCTCTCCGTTTGTTGCCTTTAATTTATGACCATGGCCTGGCGCGCCTCAGTAGCAGAGATGCTGCTGTTGCTGCTGCAGTCGGCGGCGGCGGCGGCGCCTCTCTTCAGTCTTGTGGTATGGAGGGGGCTATGCGGTGGGCCGGCCAGTGGCTGCAGCATCCGCTGTTTGTTCGAGCCATGTTATTTCCCACCCTACCAGCAGCAAAGATCGGCACAATGAATGCAACGAGAAGAAGAGAAAAAAAGAACAAACTTTTCACACACATTCAGTTTGCGCAGCTTTCGTTGCTGCAGCGTCGGAAATAGTTAACTTTTATATGCATTTCAAATCAGAAACTTTTGCATTCAAACTTTATTAAAATTACGTTTGATGTTCGTCCAATTGCGTGCCCTGGTCACCCCTGCCACAGCGCCTCTTTGCTGCACCGCTTTGCGGGTTGATTTTTGCAGTTTCTATTTGGAGTATTGTTGTCCAAAATGTTGGTCGCCATCGTCCTAGTTCGTTTGGTAGCTCTTTGTTAGGTTGTTTTTTTTCATAAGAGTCTTATATGGGGCATACTAGCTTGGCCATCACTTGACATTTTTCATTCAGCCTATAAGATTACTTGTTCTTTGAATTCAAATTACTGCATTTTGCGTTTGGTGCTGGTCCCCAGCTTTCAATACAGATTTTGTCACACACAAATGAATAAATATTCTTTTCATCGAACTATCTTGAATAATCATACGCCATATTGACTATTTATAAAGTCGTTTTGAAAGCAAATCATCAAAGAACATTTGGCAATTTCGGACACCATTAAAAATTGCATATTATTGCAAAGTTTTAATAACCTTGACTAGTATTTAACTGACTATGCAAGCATTATGATGGAAAGCGTATTTTAAGTTCGGGGCAAGCGAAATAGTTTTTCTTTTGGCTTGCTTGAATTGCACATTTCCATTATTGTTTTGACTGCTGGCGCTTTTTTGTGGCATCTTCTCTGACTGGCACTCGCATCAGTTGGGGACTCTCTCCTCGACTGACCTCTCCGCTGCTACCCACCACACCTCCTACCCACTAATGACCGACATTGCTTCCTAATTACAAAAGTTTTCCATGCACTCGTTGCATTCAACACGGGGTCGGGCGCTTGGAGGCTGGCTCCGTTGGCCGAAAAACTTTGAAGTTTATTTGATTTCCTTTATTTAATATTCGAATGCTTAAAGTTCAGCATTTCATTTGGTTTATGGAAGGACACCAACCACAATTAACTAGCGGCTTCATTGACCATGCAGCATGAGGCCTGAACCGCGCTACACATGTTTGGCCAGTTGAAAAAAGAGAAGACACAACGCACAGTGTCACATATGTCATGTGACACATGTGGTACCGAGTCAGGAGAGGCTTGAGGCCAAAACAGGGACACTCACGCGGACGGACAATCGGGGGGATGGACGAAACGACGAAAGGACGCACCGACGGCCACACTTAATGATAAACAATGCTTGCGGTCAGTTTAACATGCCGAGCTATTACCCCAAACACTAACACCCCCATCAGCAGCAGCCTCACACACCCACATAACGAGTGGACAATTTACACACATGCTGGAACTGGCCAACAGAGGGCGCTAATGCTACTGCTGCTGTTGCTCTATACACATTTTGTGAAAAAATGAAACAAGAAATCATATCTTTATTCAATACCACGAAGATTGAATACCCTAACAGACTTGGGCAAATAGAATAAAAATTTTTATTTTTTTTTAAATCAACTTTATAACTAGGATAAAATAAAAATTATTCTAAATGGAAAATAGTAAATAAATTTATATTACCTCACCTTGGAACTTCATCTTGCTGCTGTTTTATATTTAATTACAGTAACTATTTCTTTGTTGGCATTATAATTAGGACCTTATGGTAAAATAAACTAGTGTACCTCAAGCAAACCACATGTATTGTTTATATTATTTAAGATGTACTTCGTTCAAAGTGTTGCCCAATTTATGATAAAACTCGAACACACAAACTAATGTAAGGATATTAAACAAGTGCACAACCAAAGCCAGAAGAGAGCGACAAAAACAACATGCTTAAAAGAGCAGTAAATGAGAATTTATCCACTTGCTGACCAACTCACATACACTTCAACTAGCACACACACACGCACACATTAATGCTTGGACGAGTGGAATACACACGCACATCGTAAAGTTTTAATCGGATGTTGTCCAGCTTTACATGACGCCATATACTGGCTTAGAGTGCAATATCCTGTGGCACGCGATAACATCGCATACAAAGAGAACAGGCGCTGCCACACACACAGACATACACACACATGTGTGTGTGTGTGTGTTGCTTATGCCACCGTTTTGGGATGCCTGGACAAACGGTTTTGGCCCTTTGTCGTTTGATGGCATTCGGCAACGCCACACGAACTCAAACTACGCACTGCCACAATGCTATCCCTGCACCACATGGCAAAAAAACAAAGCGCACAAACAGACAAATAGACAGACAGATAGACAGACAGATAGACAGACAGGCAGACAGACAGACGGACAGCAAGACTAGACACAGTTACAGCCTCCTAGGTCCGCTGCCTCGCTCTCTCCGTACAGCTACCAATGCTGTATACAAAACGCAAAGGCTATGAAAGAGCCGCCACAAAGGCTTAAAAAGTGCTCGCAAAAAAAAGTGTGGAAGGGGAGAATAGGGTGGATCGTTGTCGTTACACGCACACTTGTCCTGACCAGTGTCCAGAGTGGAGCATTCAATGTGCCGGGGCTCCGAGCAGCGACAACTTCGTTGTCATTGTCGTGACAGGAAATTAAGATGAATGTGGCGAGCAAACTGCAGATCCAAACCTGACTTTGGCTTGACACTGGACACAATGGGTGAGGGCAGTCGGAACTAACTGTGCGGTGGAGGTGGGTTGGGAATTTCGACTTGGTTTTTGTCTCTTGTTACTACTATTTGCGCTGTTTGTCGCTTTGGCTCTTAAAATATTCATAACACAAACTGTTGCCACTATCTGCTGCTGCCAAGCCACAAAATGCGGTAATGCTACCAGCTGCAGCAGGGGGAATCGTTAGTACAAGAGTACTGGTGCGAAAGGATGGATAACAAATGAGATTGTTTGGTGCTAGAGTTGAAGTTAATTGATTTTTATGAATTAGCTGAATGACCTTCGCATGATACAACAAATAAAAGGGTATTGGTATTGAGAGTAAGCTAAATATACTGTGAGGTAGGAGTTGTAAGTGGACCATTAAAGTAATAATAAAAAATATTGTAAAATTTTATACAATATAAAATATGAATAAATATTTATATTCTATTCAAAACAAAATCTGATGTGCAAATAAAATAATATAAAATATTTAAAAAATTGACAAGATATTGCATTAGTAGCTTTTGATGTACATTCGAATAATTGATATTAAATTCTCATCTCAGCTATTAATTTAAATTATGTTTAAAACTTCTGTTTAGGATTCCCTGCAAAGTTCAAAATTAAAACAATTACATGAGGACAAAAGCGATTACATGGTAAATGGGCCAAAATTGCTGTTCAACTTTCGACTGTTTCCGTTTGCTCTGTTTTGGGCTAATAACTTAATTGAGCCATTGCACGCATGGGAGAGCTCATTAAAAAGTTGCCAACTGTCTCTCGTAAAGTCCTTCGACTGGATGGCTATTGTTAGTGCAAAGTTAAATGATTTGCTTCGTATAAAAGCCAAAGTCTACTTAGAAGTCAGTTATAGTCTTGATTATGGTTCGTTACGTGCCTCGCCTGGCTGATGGCCAACGGATAAAGCTTTCCTGGCCTCTTGCGCTGTATCGTCACGATATCTTCTTCTGGCCATTGGACCCGAGTACCTCACCCAATGGGCGTCGCTTTTATTATTCGCTGGCTTTCGTCGGATTCCTAATCTATTTGCATCTCACTGATGCGGAACTTCGCTATTTACGCTTTCAGAGAAGCAATGTAGATGCCTTTCTGACTGGGGTGCCCACCTGCCTGATTCTTGTGGAGTCCCAAATTCGCTCTGGGCATGTCCTGTGGTACAGAGCAGAATTGCTTCAGTTACTGCAAACATACTTCGCTTGCATCTATGTGGATCGTAATACGGAACCGAAAGTCTTTCGAAAAGTTGAGCGCAAGCTACTGCCAAATCGACTGGTCTCCTCGCTCTACTTAATGGTCGTCTCTGGCTATGTGATCGCGCCCATTATTATGTTGATCAAGAGAGCCCAAGATTATATTTTCCCCATGATCCCCGCATACGATAGCCGACCAATGTACATATTTGTGCCACTGACGCTAAGCTGTGTCTGGGTGGGACTTTCTATTGTTAATATGGTTATTGGGGAGACTGCCCTGCTCTGTGAACTGCTTTCTCATCTCAAGGGTCGCTATATGCTGTTGCAGCGCGATATGGACTCCGCAATAGATCAAATACTGGCAGCTCGACAGAGTCCGCATATTGCACGCCAATTGCGTCAGGTGATTGTCGAGACTCTTCGCAAGAACGTGGCACTTAATCGATTTGGAGAACAGCTGGAGAATCACTTCACTTTTCGCATATTCATCATGTTCGCCTGCTGCGCCGGCTTGTTGTGCGCCTTGAGCTTCAAGACAATTGTGGTCGGTTTTATAATTTGTATGTGTAATCGAGTATGAATTCATTGAAATTTTCCTCTATTTCTTTGCAGAGTCCAACGGGCACCTATATATATCCGATTTGGTTTGCCGCCAAAACTATAGAACTACTTTCGTTGGGTGAGATTGGCTCCGATCTGGCACGTATGGTAATTAATAGACAGCTTGATTTCAATTTATTTTCCAATTGGTATTCAATATATTTATGGAAACCATAAAGTGTTTCAAATAGTACATTACTATTATTAATCATTGAATTAGCCACTTACACATTAAACAACAATAATAGATTTAATATTTGTATTTACTAGTTTTAATTTGTAATGTATTTCTTAAATGTATTTTTGGTTAATAGACAGACTCTCTAAGTACGGTGTACTATCTAACGAGATGGGAGCAGGCAATCTATTACTCCTCCAATCGTCGTGAGAATCTGCGGCTGATGAAGGTCGTCGCAGTTGCAATTGAGCTCAACCATAAACCTTACTATATGACGGGCTTGAAGTACTTTTCAGTCAGTCTCCAAGCAGTTGTAAAGGTGCTGTGTGTTAAGGTGCTTAATCTTGCAGGCATGCACTAATCCTTGACAAACTCTCTTTTCTAGATACTACAGGGTGCTTTCTCCTACTTCACGTTTCTTACCTCGATACGCTGAGTGAGCGACTTCAGTGGCAGCAGCTTTGCAGGAGCTCATTGCGTCTGCATCTGCACGATTTAATAAATCGTAATTTTTAATTATAAATAATTAAGGATATCAGAATTGAGCAGTGAGCTCTCAAAACCATGATTGCATATAAAGAGTCAATTATTGGTGAATTCTTTTTAATTAAATTAAATTAAATTGATAAAATGTTTCGTTCACACATCGCTGCCTGCTGTCGACGCCAGTGGATATTTATGTTTGCGTATCTGTGTGTGTGTATGAGTGTGTATTTCAGTGTTAATAATGTCTGCATCACCCCGAAAATAGGCAATAAAATATTCATGACTCCTGCTGTGGGCAACGAGTGCAGAAACTTGCCAAAAAGTTAATAAAACTTTGGCCTTTGGAATTTTCCACTGAAATTAGAAACGCTCAAAAACAGCTGATCAGCAGCAATCCCATAAATCTTCAGTTTTTGTCTCATCCTTCGTCTTCTTCTGGCTTCGTTTATCACTTGTGCTGTGCTCCCATTTCAATTTCCTGCAGCACGAACATTTTGGTAAATTAATCCATTAAAGTTTTGCCCATGAAATGAACGAAAGTTTTCACATAAAAATCTGTGCATCCATCTCTTTCGCTCTGTATACTTCTTCCTTCTCTTTCTCTCTCTCTGTCTCTGTCTCTCTCTTTCTCTTTCTCACTCTGTTAACCATCTCGGTGTCGCACATAATTCTATAGTACATGCGTCAGACTCATTGATAATTAGACGCAGAACCGAATCGTCCCGCCCCATTACCCAATTTGCACTTCATTAGCGTCGCGTTGTTCAGCTCGAGCTGAACATACTAGTTGCCGGAGCAGCAGTCGAGTGGATATCGCTAGCAGAAATTGAGTTATTCTGCTGACATTCGCGATGAAGTTGCCCCCAATTGCAGTGGTACGCAACTTACCTAATGAGTTTTTGTTTGCCATGACGAGTGGGAAAGACACAGTGTGCTACCTAGTTGACATGGCTTTGTTTCAGATCTTATCAGTCACACAGATATATATTTTGAGTAGACAGTCCTTGAACAGTTTTAATAATGATGTACATATATATATACATATGTGTATATATATATGTATATATATATATATATTTTTTTTTTTTTTTGTTGTAATCTTGTCAAATATAGTAACAAACTGAATTCCAGGAACAGCTGACAATTTTTTTTCAACGGCTTCCTCTCATGTAATCCATAAATACTCAGACTATGGTACACATATTATTCATATTACATAGACATATATATCTGTATTGCGCAAATGTATATGAGTACTTTTTAAAAATTCTCTGGAAATTGTCACAACTTTTGCGCAAGCCAGTGAAAAATTTTATATTTATGCTTTGGTGTTGCCAACTGAAGTTGAAAAACAAACAAACAAACACTAACACATAAACACACATAAAAAGTGTGTATGAATGTGCTGTGGTGTGGAAGGCGGGTGAAGGGCAGGCAAATGTTCTAAAAGTTTTAGCTTGTAATTATCATTAGCGATATTGTGTCTAAAGTTTTTGAAGCCGCGTATTAAGCGGCCTGCGACCCACAGAATGCCAAATGGATGGCAGTTGGTGTGTGCTTCTGTGTGAGTGTTTGTGTCTATGTGAGTGTGCGTGTGTGAGTGTGGGTGTGGGTGTGGGTGTGGATGTTGGCGTGGCTGGTTGAATCATACAGTTATGCTTCAAAAAGGCGCATACGCATTGAAACTTTTGGCTTCATTTAACTTGGTCTTTTGATTTGATTGCACAGCCACCAAGATATAAATGTGTTGAGAAAGAGATAGAGCGAGAGAGAGAGAACGAAGGGAGCGAGAGCGAGACAGAAAAGGGCATTAAATCAAATTAAGCGCGCCATATAAGCGACGAGTTGGGCAAACAAAACTTTTAATTGCCAGCGCTTTTTCTTCTATATTTTAACAATTTTATTATTAATTTTAATTGTGTTTTTTTTTTTTTTGCCTCAAGACTTGACCAGAAGGTCTGCCGTGCATTAAATTACGGGTCATGCAAGTCATATTTGTCTACCCCTGCTGAGTGAATTACCGTTTTATGATGAAGTTATAAAAAAAAAAAATATATATATATATATACTATGCCATATATATTATATGAGGACAAAGTCTGTCTGCTTTCTTATGCAAACTTTACAAAGTCAAAGTATTACATACATTTTAATAAAATGTTTATAATTCATCACTAAATATAAATAAGTGTTTAGTTTAGTTGATACAGCTTACCTGCTTTATTATTTTGATCGATGTCATACTAATATATTGTCCGCCAGTGTATAAGGACATCGAAGTTTGTTGCATGTTTTGTCAAATTACGTTTGCAACACGTCGTTTACTTCATTAATTTTAAATGCACTTTTAATAGTTGAATTGCGCAAAGTTGGCAAATGAATTCCATTTAATGATTAACTCAGGCAGTCTGTCAATGATTACGACTATTCTGAGACACCTTTAAGGCTGAAGAACATTTTAACTTTCGCTTAAACTAAATACCAGTAAGAACAAATAAATCGCAAAAAGGTGGAAAACAGCAGGCAGCGATATTCATGTGTGACGGCATTTGTTAGGCTCTGCCTGTGATTGTGTGTGCGTGTGAATATCTGAGTTGTGTGTAATTATGTTTGAGATTATGCCCACAGTCATACTGTGTGTGCGCCTTTAATGCACACATCATTGTCCCGCCCCGCATCTTGGCCTTGTGGACGTCCCCAACGTCAAAAGTTTTTGCGGTTTTCTCGTGTGCAAATCTCTGAGAGCATCTCGCTCTAGCCATGGTAATGTGCTGATGTCTTGGAGTGAGATTTGGCCTCAGAGCCAATGACATTTGCCAAGCAAGATATGCAACTGCTAAAAAAAAAGTATTGGGCAGTTGAACTTAAGAGCTTAAGTGCAATTATTAAGGATTAAAACTTTTTCCTGAGTTCAGCGCTGTTTAAGAAAAAAACAAGCAGTCTAAGTTGAATTGTCAAAGAAAATAATATATCTATTTCCTATAGTTAAATTAATTAATACTTCAAATTTATAAAAATAAATCAGAAATTTTAATTTTGAAGCATCGAAGTTTTCAGCGTTCTCGAAAATTGTAAAGTTAATACTAAATTGTTGGACTTCATAGAAAGCTTTAAAATGCAATTTTATATTGATGTTCAAGCATATTTCAATATTATTCCATTAGTAGAGTAGAAGTCTCAGCCTGTGTCATTGAGACGTTTTGTTGTCTGAGTGCTTTAAGTGTGGTCTTAAGATATTTTACTCATATGCGCTGCTCTCCGACTTAAGTATTCGCATTTCCCTGTAGCTGCTACTGTTGCTGTTGTTGTTGTGATTGTTGTTGCTGCTTGTTGTGCTGCCAGTGCTGCTGGGTTTTTCTTTTGCTTGGCTCGTAAAGTCGCAGGAAGTTATTATCCTAAAAACTTTACCCCTGAGGGCAATACAAACAAAGGCGTAGCACAGCAACAAAGCGCAGCATTCATGTCTGACTATGAAATGGCTCTGCGTGCCCTCTCCCACACACACACACATATTATGTACACTTGGCTCGTTATATATGTATAAATGTGTATATCTGTGGTTCGCCTATGCATGAAAATAGAATGTCATAAAATTAGAACGATCATAAGCAGAACAACAGCCAAGGCAACGTCTCGAGTCGAGTAAAACTCAACACACAAAAACTTGGCCAACGCGCTGACTTTTTGACTGCTCTCGGCAAATAGTTGATAGCGAGGCGTTCTACTAGCCGCCTTAACCCATTAAATTCTTTTTATTTTATCTATTGTAGCAATAAATTTAAAACGCAAGCATTCCAAAGGACCCCAGTCCCTGTCGTTACTTTACGTTAGCAGATGCAGTGCGCAAGTGGCATTATTTAAATTTAAATTGCATTTGGTAGCTAAGAAAAACCTAAAGTTGTTTTCAAGTAACTTTTTGCCTTTACTGACGGCAGTACAAAGCTCAAAGATGACCGGATCGAACCACTTAAAGTAAATCATATTGCTGCTGCAATAACAATCGATCGAATCAATATATTAAGATTTTGTTTCTCACTAATCTTAGAATGAGATATTTGCGATTGTTTGAAGGTTTTTGCAAGCAATGAGCATGTCAAATTTGATGGCTCTTGCTTTGAATTTTTGAATTAGTTATATTAATGTATCGATCAACACCACACATATATTGGTTTCGGGGGCTGAAGTGGACGCGACCACTACATTATTTAGCGATTCTTCAAGCCGTGGTGGATATGCCCTGGCAATTTATATGTCGATCTTAATCAACATAAAAACCACTTTGAATGTGAGGATCGCACAAAGAGAGCGTATTAAATTCTTAATAGCTTAGCTCAGAGAAGTAACTTAGTATTCGTGCCTTGTTATCCGTTTTAGAGTGTGACTTTACAGCTCTCTCCTCGTAACCATCCTCTTCGCCATCTTCAGTTGTAACTAAAAACGCAAATGCATTTCCTGCATAAATTAAATGTTTACGGCTTCCGTTCCTTGTGTATGTGTCAGTGTGTATGCTGCTGAGGAGGTTGCAGGTAGCACAGGCAGTTGGAGGTTGGCATTATAAAGCCAAATATATTCGAGGTGCACATAACAGACAACACCCAACAGAACACGCACAGACACACACACATACACACTTACACAGATAACGGACTGGAAGCTGGCATTATAGACATTACCATGGCTCTTTGCTCTGAGCTGCGACTTTGTTGTTGGTGCGCTAATTTTTAATTACGACCACTAAATATTCAATTTTTAGTGCCGTGCACAGGCGACTGCAAACACTTCCTCTACCAGTCTGGATGGTGCCTTTTGTTTTGTAGATTAACCACAGCCGGCAAGTAAGAACAACAAAAAGAGAGAGAGAGCGAAATGATGTGCAAAAGAGATACTTGATTCCTGTCCCTTGGAATTGCAAATGCTGTGTTTATTCTAGGACCACCACATTAGAATGATACTTATTAAGTCCAGGCAAATCTGCTTGATTTTATCCAGTAAGTTTAATTTTGGAATTTCAATTGTTAGGCGGTTAACGAACGAAAAGCTGACGAATCTTTACGCTAATCTAAAAGATTTGCTTCTGATAAATTATACTTCGTGCTGTTTAGGGTATCATTCAACTGCTTTGCTATAAGCAGCATCACTTACCGAGGGGAAATAGCCACATGGCTTTTATTGGACATAAAAAACATGATACGTCAAAGTTTCAAAGGTAAAACACTCCCAAAATTAAAGACTTAGCTGTTTGCATATACAAAATTATGCAATATAAAGAAAATTCAAATTCCACAAGTGCTTCCGAAATTGCAATAGAAATGGCTCACAATGGATTCACCAGGTGTCCAGACAGGCAAGCTTTCCATGGAGCAAAGATCATTGTCACTTTGCGAATATAATAAATTATATTCGCTTAGTCTTTTATTACGCAATTGAAAATGGGTGAAATGGTTTTGGGCAAAAATTGATATAACACGCAGAATAAAGTATCTCCGACCTCATAAAGTACATATATTCAGGATCAAAAGCCAAGTCGAGAGTATGAACACGCGGCTCTCAGAAACTATAAAATTTTAAATATAGGCTCTCGGATACTTTATAGATAACTTCTCCGTTTCGCAAATATCAATACTTATTGTATTTTGTAGAACCCCGTTATCTATGCCTATGCATATATACATATGTATGTATGTATTTATATGTTTGTTGCAAGCCGGTGATTTCAGTTCGGGCTTATGAATAGATGTAAATATAAATATAAAAATATGCGATGGCATTTTTTTAATCTTCACTCTCTGTAAGAAATGAGAGCTACTCCACGCAAAAATGTAAAAGGGAAGTTTGGCAATAAACCTAGAATATATATAACACCTTGGTTCAGGACTTATCGTTGCGAGCTCACTAGATTACAGTGTTCTTATTTGCTTATATATATGTCAGTATAGCGCATGTCGAGCACGTCTAAGGCTGAAAAAGTTATTAAAAAATCCAACTAAAATATGCAATTTTTCGAAAAAATAATTTCATTTCTGAGATTGATTTGCATGTAAAATTTGCCATCGATTTCTTTTTGCAGTGTTAAGAGGTAAGTCAATTTATAATAAATCTATGAGAATAACTTTTTGTAAAGTCTCGGAAATGAAATTTCTTAATTAATTTGATGCTTTAAAAATAATACATATATTTAAAAAAATGATTTCGCTCTTGCTTATTCATACGAACTGCAAGCTGTTTCTATAATTAATTTTACAGAACGGCGCAAGAGCATCTGGCGTTTCCACTGTTTGGATCTGTTCTAGCGCTTGAAAAGCCGAGAAATGCTTTCAGTTTAATTTCTAAAGGCAGCCGAGCAACAAATCATGATGCGAGTCACAGTTTTTTTATTATACTGTTTGCAGCAATGCCAGCTAGTTTGCTGGCGACTATGTACAAAAAAAAGAAAATAATTAATAATCATTTTATTGTTAGTTATGAAGCAAGATGTAAGTGAAGTAAGTTCGGTTCTTTTTTAAAGGATAGTAACTGCTTCTCCGCCGAAAGACGTATCACTGAAGATAATAAACCACAATGTGTTGCCATCTGCGATAAGGACTGCGGCAATGAAACCTGTAGCCGCCCCAATAAGTGCAAATGTAACCAGAGCTTTGAAAATCTACATCATCGGCCATATAACCGGTAAGTATTTAAGCAATCATTTATTAAATTAGATGTGTGCCTGTCTGCTAAAATTGATGGACAAGCGGACAGTGTATTGCACCGGAGACGTGTCGCTGCGATGCTGGCTACCAGCTGGAACTGGTCCAGTCTGCCCCACTGTCTGCCGCAAAGGACGTTGCAAGACTCCGGAAAATTGCACATGCAACACAGGCTACGTTCTGAAAGCTGACCAAAGCGGTGCTCACATATGCACAGGGGGATGGACCCAATTCAGATTGCCTGATGTTAAGTCAAAATCATCAAGACTCAAGCGATTGAGATTATCAAGCCAAAAATCGTTTGAAATACTCATTTTAGTCAAAATGGATTTAATTCATACATAATTGATGTTAATTTTTAAAATGCTTATTGATTTCTAAACTATTTTTACTATGTAAATATGCTTAGCGCTCTCTCCACGTTAAATGTCATGGTCACAGTATATGCAACAGTTTAGCTAACCTCAAAATGCTATATTCCATTGACGACTAGTTGAAGTAAACACCATCAACAATAGATGCGCCTGAGCTTTAGCATATCTTTGATGCTAACTCCCTTCCGCTGACCAATTTGGGCACCACCATGCAATTGGACAATGGTGGGCTTCCCGTTCTTTGAGAACGCAGTGGGTCCATAATGCAATACACTGTTATAATCATAGCCGATACCAAAGTCACTCACATCGTTTGCTTTGTAGATGTCAAAATTGACCTCCTTGCCAGGTATAATATTTTGATAATCGATCCTTATGAACTTGTCCCTCCTAGGATCATTCTGCATGTGCACTAGGGCGAGAGCATGAAGTAGTTCATGCTGTATGGTACCGATTCTCATGCAACGTTGACTCAAATTGAGCTCTTGCCGTCTGCCTTGATAGCCAACAGTGGTCCAACAACCAGAGCCACTTCTCTGAATGGCGAGCTGAGGCTCCTCCAAGCTATACGTGCGGCGAAAGCGCACACAGGTCCAGTCTGAAATTCTTTCCATGGCTTTCCTGACAATTATTTCGTCAGTGGAATCTGTGGAGTAGAAACAATTATACTACCCGCTTGGCTGCACGCCTGCCCTACCTACTTAGTCCCACGATGCTGTAGACGAGCTCGCTTTTGGGCCAGTAATAGCGCGACCAGAGCATCACATTTCGTGTCATACTGTTTCCGGCCAAATGCTTTAATTGCTCTGGCGTGAGACGCATATCGCCTTCCGACAGAGTCTCATCCTGTTGGACAGCCAAGACCTGGCTAAGGCCCAAGGCATTAAGCAGGAAATTCCAAAATAAGTATTTGCAGTAGTTCATTTTCAAAATGAATTCACGAACCAACAGCAGATTTTATATATTTGTGCTTAGCTTTGTTTAGCTTTAGTTCATAGCGAGCTGTCTTAGTTTCTCAACTTGGACTGTGCTTAAGTATTAGTTTATGATATATGTATAAATGATAAGGGCTTATTGCCGTACTGACTATCATAACATATACTTAATGTTTCAGTGACCTTGAGTTGCGGTATTTTAATTGATTAATATACATATCTACTAGCACTAATCAGACAACACCTATGACGCCTCTATAGGCATCAAATCGACAAGAAAGCGCATCAGGTTTTTTCTGAACCTATGGGCCCGGTGGACGCAGGCTGCGACGCGTCCAAAATTTGGCAGGGATAGATAACTTTTAAGAATTTTGATTTTCTTTGCAATTAATTCACTTTTGTCTAGTTATATAAATCTCCAACCAAATATACGTTGTACTGTTGCATTCAAGCACTAAACAGACAAGCATGTGGAGGCGACAAATCGACTAAAAATTGGCTGCATGAAAAATCTGATCGATTGGCTACACATCTCGCTCCACTGCACTTCGGGTGCTGACAGCGGTGACCCGATTGGAATGCTTCGAAAATTTTTCAGACTTAGTGTATCGAGCAGCGAATGCAGATCATTGTTTGGCTTGCCTTCGCTGTGACATGTTCTCGAGTGGAATAGAGACCCAATTCTCTTATGGGCATGCGTGCATTGGTGCGACCAGCTACCAACTTTTTATACTACATCCTAAAGGGTTTTGAATGTGTGGGCCTGGGATGTATCTTTTGTAGAGTTTTGTGACCGCAGACTATTTAAATTTTTAATAACAAATACTTGAAGAATTCCTTAGAAGAAATCTAATTTAAAATTTGCTAAGCCAACTGTGATTTTATTAGACAAATCTTTGTTCAAAAAACAGTCGGCGCATTGTGGCATGATCCAGTTGAGACCCATTTTGTATGTGTGCATTTATTGAGAAATAATGAATTTGGCATTTCGAGACAATAATACCTTTTTTAGATTTGTATATTTTTAGTCGATTTGCCCCTATGTATATTGTCTGAGCACTTATTAAAGTCATTACACTGAGTAATTTAAAACCCCACCATAAGGCTACCTACTACCTGAAATCAGCATGACACACTGCTACAGCTTCGCTTAAATCTTTTATGGTTTTCATAAACATAATATTCCCCAAAGCAAAAAAAAGTTTATTTCACAGTTGCGCTTTTCTTTCGCAACTTAATGATGATAAATTCCAATTCCTTATTGTCCTTTACTCAGCTGCCTTGGCACTTTCTTTCCTGCCTTCCTCCGCATCAGTCGTCCACATTTAATCAGTTTATTGTGTTGACAAATGTAATTAGGTAAACTCTGTGCCGCTGTCATTTGTGTTCAGATTCATTTTGACAACGTTCTCGCCCTCATAATCGCCTTGCTGCGTAAGCGATTGGGATTGAGATTCGGATTTGGACAGTGACAGTGACAAGGCAGCAGACACAAAGACCTCGTAGAAGGTAACGAAGGAAAACATTAACGAAAAATAAGGGGCTGTAGTCGTGTGAGCTCGACTACAATATATCCTGGGCCCAGCTGTTAAATATATTCCAGCTTTATTGGCAAATCTCTCTTTAAAAAGTTTTACTTAAGGTCGTAGATGCTTTCTTCTGCATGTTACATACATTTTCACAAAACCATTATACAGTTTTATTCATTTTTAATGGGTTCATGGTATAAAAATATGTGAAATATGCCAAATAAGAAGTAATAACTAAAAATGTACGCTTTGAAGCAATCGTTTTTCAATCGTATAAGTGAAGGTTAATTAACAACTAAAAGTATGCTTTGAAAATAAGTGGTAATTTGTTAGAGATGAGATAATTTAAAAAATACCGGTAAATATAGTATAGAGTAGTATTGTATTGTTTATGGAAAATGATTTTCTATGCAATTTGCTGTGTTTCATTAAAAAGTTTTGAGATCAGCAGAATAAATGTCATCTCAAAAGCGAACTTTACTCTATAATTTGCATAAAGTAGTTTTCTGCAAATGATGTTGCATATTAATCAAGTAAATCCCAGCCAAACATATTAAGTAATTCCCTCTAAAATACATGCAGTTTAATATTTACCGAGCGAGTATATAAACATTAATTCAAGAAAATATTTTGGCACTGGAAATATGAATCCTTTTGCATTTCTTTTGTAAAAAAGTGCTATATTATTGACTATAATTTTTTTTCAAATTTTTTTAATATTGAATGGAATTCTTACAACTAGGTACAAGAAATATACTATCTAGACATAGTGTATATTATTAATGGCTCTGATAAGATAAGATCGGAAGCTTTGTTTATTTCGGCAGACGCAAAGAACCAGCTATAAATCTAAATCAAGTAGCAAAACTGTAGTCGAGTGAGCTCCACTGCAAGATACCTAGAACCCTGACACATTCATTTTTCCAGTTTTATTGCCAAATTGCCCTTTGGAAATACTTGCACAAATGTTGTAAATGTAAGTAGTTTAGCAAGTTATCTCATTTTTGATGGCCGGTTAACAAGTCTAAGGTATGTTATGGATGCTATTAATATTTTGAGTATAACTTGGGTGCTTATTATAAAGTAAATTGACTTTTCTGCTTTCTCATACAGATGGACAGACGGATATGGCTATATTGACTTGGCTGTTGATTCTGATTAAGAATAAATATGTACCTTTTAAAGTCGAAGAAGTCCATCTGCCTGTTACATACTTTTTAAGAACTTCAATATACCCATTTTACCCATTTTTATGGTTTAAGAGTATAAATAGTTCTCAATAAACTGGCCACATTTTAAACTTACTGTGAAGACTTGCGTGAATTGACTGGCAGTTGTGGAAAATCCATCCGGCGGTCAACATGAGAGCCTTACCAATAATTCTATTTGTCCTTGTAAGCAGCAAGAGCTGCCTTGCAGCTCCAGCAGTTCGTGTGGAAACCGATCCCGAACTGACTGCCGGCTATACACAAGGTGATATGATATTGGAAAATCAGGAGAGAAATGGGATGATCAACGAATCTTATCGCTGGCCAAATCGCGTTGTTTATTACTTCATCAATAGGGACATAGGTAAGCTACTATAAGAAGCTTATATAATAATAATAAATAACTGTGTACTTTAGACCAACAACATAGGGATCATATTCTTCGTGGCATACGCATCCTTGAGGCAAACTCGTGTCTGATTTTCAAAGAAGCAAGCAGTGATCTGCCCTACTATATAAATGTCACCTCCGAGGCTGGCGGCTGCTTCTCGTATGTGGGCCACAGAAACCGAGTCCAACAGCTCAATCTGGAAAACTACGATTTGGACAAGGGTTGCTTCCGTCTGGGGACCATTGTTCACGAGTTTCTGCACGCCTTGGGCTTCTATCATCAACAGAGCACATGGAACCGTGACGACTATGTTCGCATTGTGATGGAGAATATTCAAGAGGGCACGGAGCACAACTTCGACAAATACGACAAAGAGACTGTGGACAATTACGGTCAGGAATATGACTATGGCAGTGTAATGCACTACCAGCCCACTGCATTCTCCAAAAATGGACAAATGACCATTGTGCCTTTGGAGGAAGGTGCTGACGAGATTATGGGACAGCGACTGCAGATGAGTGGTCCAGATATTGAAAAGTTAAATGTTATGTATAAGTGTCCAAGACATGCTTGACGCAATGCTAAAATACATAAGCAGAAATGACCAAGAAGATTTTGCTTTTGTCGCATGCCATGCAATCAAATAAACGATAAGATAAGAACTGCCCTAATTGACGGTCTATATTTTCTATTGTCAATAATGTGCTGTAAATAAAGCTTTAAAGATAAGCTTAAAGAATTTTAAATTTGAAAGGGAACTTTGGTCGTCAAACGAGTTAAATCAGCGGCACACTCGACCATTCTGCATTTGTTCATTCAGTCGAGAACATGAAGCGGTTTTTCAGGACGAACTAATTTCAGGACATACGGAAGGTGTTATGCTGCTAAGCAGTGAGCAGTGAAATGGACTGGGTAACGGAACCTATCGCTGACCCGATCGGATTGTCTATTAGGTAGGTAGGTCAATTTGTATTACTTGATTTGAAGCTCTTCAATATTTATATAAACAGATCACGCTCACCGCAATCACAATTATCGGCATTCGTACATTCGGCAGCCCTACTATATAAATGTCACCCCCGAGCCTGGCGGCTGCTTCTCGTATGTGTGCCACAGAAACCGAGTCCAACAGCTCAATCTGTAAAACTACGATTTGGACACGGGTTGCTTCCGTCTGGGAACCATTGTGCACGAGTTTCTGCGCGCCTTGGGCTTCTATCATCATAAGGTCACATGGAATCGTGACGACTATGTTCGCATTGTGATGGAGAATATGCACGACAAAGAGATCAGGATTATGACTATGGCAGAGTAATGCACTACTCGTCCACTGTATTGTTCAAAAATGGACAAATGACTATTGTGCCATTAGCGGTGGGTTCTGGCAAGATTATGGGACAGCGACTGCAGTTGACATAAATACATAAGCAGTAATGACAAAGGAGATTTGGTTTTTCGCATGCATCAAATAATCGATAAGATAAGAACTGCACCGATTTTATGGTTTATAGACTATATTATCAATAATGCATTGTAAATAAAGCTTTAAAGATAAGCTTAAAGAATATTAAATTTCAAAGCAAACAATGTTCGTCAGACGAGTTACATCGGCGACACAGTCGACCATTCTGCATTTGTTCATTCAGTGGAGAACATGAAGCGATTTTTCATAGTCACCTTAATCTTTGTGCTCCTCAAGAATATTCTGGGAGCACCAGCAGCTCATACAGAGTTGGATCCCGAACTAATTTCAGGACATACGGAAGGTGACATGGTGCTCAGCAGTGAGCAGCGAAATGGATTGCGAGATGGAACTTATCGCTGGCCCGATCGGACTGTCTATTACTACATCAATAAAAACATTGGTAGGTCAATTTGTATTACTTGATTCGAAGCTCTTCAATATTTATATAAACAGATCAAGCTCACCGCAATCACATACTTATCGGTCTTCGTACTATCGAACTGAACTCTTGCCTCATCTTCAAAGAGGCTCTAGTAGATCAGAAATACTATGTAAATATCACCTCCGAGCCTGGCGGCTGTTTTACTGCTGTGGGCTTCCAAAACCGAGTCCAACGAATGAATCTGCAAAACCACGATCTTGATACGGGTTGCTACCGCATGGGCACCATAATGCACGAGATGCTACATGCCCTGGGCTTCTATCATCAACAGAGCTCTTCGGACCGTGATGATTATGTGCGAATTGTCACAGAGAATATTGTGGAAGGTAAAGAGCACAACTTCGATAAGTATGATGAGGGTATGGTTGATAACTTTGACCAGACTTATGACTATGGAAGCGTCTTGCACTACACTCCTTATGGCTTCTCCAAGAATGGTGAAATGACCATTGTGCCACTGATAGCTGGCGGTGATAAGATCATGGGGCAGCGACTGCAAATGAGCCAAACGGATATCAACCGATTAAATGTTATGTACAAGTGTCCATTGCATGTATAAAACTTTACTTATATATTTATTCAAAATATAGTATGCTACTTAATATTGTTTATATTGTGCATTATAATATTTAGAAGAAGATAATACAAAATGTATGTTGATCAATTAAAAACAGTCAATTAGCACTTGCGATATTTTGAATCTTTTAACAAGCGAATCTTTTAACAAGCGAATTGAAAATAAATGCACAATTCTAATGTATCAATCAACAAATGGAATTACGGATTTGTCAAAATTAGCGTCGAACTCCAAATTCCTATACCACACTCTCTTTGGTTTTATGTTCTCATTACCAGTGAGCTTTGCCAAATAATTGCACACCAAAAAGATTGCTACTTTTTTAGTTGCTTGGGTCTTATCTCAAACACATGTGCACAAAATTATCGGGTTGTTTTAATCCTTATCAAATTACAAAGCTTAAAATAGTTTTAATTGGTAATTCTCATTTAATTTAATTGGTCATATTACTGAAAGGTTTTGCACATAATTGCGATTGTCAACAAAATCCGCTTCCTACATTATAATCGCTTGATAGCCCTTGAACCGATATATACCAATAGTATTGATTGTAAAGAAAATCCACATTCTGCGTTATTATCGACTGATAAGTCGTTAACCGAAATAGAACTGTGAAGTGCTTAATCTAGTTTGGACTGTGCCATATGCGGTCATTTCTTACAATTCCGCCGGCTTGGGAACCACTCAAAATGATAAAATGAGAGAGAGAGAGACAAAGAGAGAGAGAGAGAGAGAGAGAGCGAACTCGGTCTCTCGAGTCGTATCGAGTGATAAGCACCATTCAAGCCTGAAGACAACTGTTTATCTGTAGAGTACAACGATTACTAGTGTTTTCGTATCTGGAAAGCATTCAGGTTACAATTAGTCATGCTTTGCAGTGTTTTGCAAGTTATATTAAATATACGTATTGCTCGTTGACCACTTTAAAATTCAATCACACCATTGATAATATAGATAATATTTCAATTAAGTGGTAAGGAATGACAAAATCATTTACCACATGACGTATGATATGCAGTACGTTAAGAATCAATTGTGCGTGAAATGGGGGAAAATGATAGAGCTCAAACAGAGTCTCTGCGAATCTCATTTGTCATGCCCAACATGATGTACAACTTTTTTTTTATTTATTAATTCGTTAACATAATCTTCTGCGATTTACAAATAACTTAATTTATTCCATCCATTTTAGATGCACTGCCTCTAAGTTACTTCCGGAGTACCACAAATCTTAATCATTTTAAATAAATATTTTCTTAATGGCAAACCACTTGATCCCAACGAATGTGTTGATAATTTAGGTATTTGATTAGATCCAAAGCTTTAGTTTGACCAGCATAATTCTTCAACTGCTATTTCCATTTCTGCGTCCTGGTTTTTAATATTACCATAGACTTTTATGTGTCATATTATTACATAAGCCAATAAATGGTGAAATTGATGCTTCTGAGTTAATCAGCCAACTAACTTTTGTAGGAGGTAGAAGTACAAGGAAGTTTCTACCTCTTTCTCTTCAAATTTTTGGTTCTAACTATGCTGCCCACAACCCACAACTCTTATTCTTCGAATATCACGAGTTTTTCCCCTTAATAAGCTGTGTTAGTGCTATGTGATTTGTCTATCAATCGTTGGGGCACTTGAATGTGCTAATCGTTAGCTCTTCAACTTCTAAATCAAAAAAAATAAATAATAATAATAATAACAAACTATACACTCTCCAATTGCCCTGCATTGCGGGAGCTGTTCACAAGAAAAAGTTGCTTTATAATTCTTCTAAGGAATTGTGGTAAAATATAGAAGAGCAGGAATAATTTTTAATCGTTTATCGATTATTCAAGATGTACACTATAACTAGTAACAACGACTGTTATTACTTCTATACGATATGCTATTACATAACATACGATATCAATATCGATTGATAGGTGATCATTTGTTGTGCGCTATACTATTGTCTTTAGTTAATCAGTAACATGCATTCACACAAATTTGTTTTACGCTTGCCAAAAAATTGTCCAACAGAATTTTTTGAGCGCAATCAATTGCTTATATCTAATCTTCGGTATCAACTAACAAGTACTTCATATTTATGTCCAGTACCATCTACCCACTTGCGTTAGTAATAAACGAGCAACGTCGCGAGCAAGATGCAATACTATAAAACTGTGCTCGGCTTAGTGCTGTCCACCCTACTACTGCAGGGTGAAGCAGCACCGCTGCCTGCAGGCATTGAGGATCCCGAGGAGGCAGCTGGATTCGTGGAGGGAGACATGCTGCTCACAGTAGGACAGCAACTGGTATTGGAACAAGGACCAATGGGCCGCAATGGTTTAATAGATACAACCAAACGCTGGCCCCAAAATACGGTCGTTTACAAAATATCGGCAGACTTTGATGACACGCATCGGCAGGCGATTCTAGATGGTATTCAGACGCTGGAGGAGAAGACTTGCGTGCGGTTCAGGGAGGCTAACGACGAGGATGATGGCTATTTGAGCATCACTGCCCAGCCTGGTGGCTGTTACACAGCCGTTGGTTATTTGGGCACGCCGCAAGTTATGAACCTAGAGATATATCCGATTGGTGAAGGATGCTTCAGACCCGGCACTGTATTGCACGAGTTCATGCATGCGCTTGGCTTCTACCATCAACAGAGTTCGGCGATACGAGACGATTTCATAGAGGTGATCCAGGAGAACATTGTCCCTGGCAAGGAATTCAATTTCAAGAAATATGCAGAGAGTGTTGTCACCGATTTCGATTTGGGTTACGACTATAATAGTTGCCTGCACTATCGTCCTGGTGCCTTCTCCATAAATGGCGAGGATACGATTGTGCCGCTAGATAAGACAGCTCAGATCGGGCAGCGTATCGGTCTCAGCGCGAAGGATATTGACAAGATTAACATTATGTATAAGTGCCCCTTATTAATTTGAGCATCCGCAAGTGTCAATCAACTTTGTATTGCTGCCTAAGTATTAGATAAATGTGATATTATATACCTTCCCCTGCCTAGCCTTCTCCATATTTTTTAGTCATTTTAATGCATATATATGTATATATACATCACAAAGTGTATTGCGTAAATTAAAGTTCATGTTTTGTGAAAGACGATTTGGAGTTTGTTTTGTGGTTTTTTGTTCCCCATTTTTGCGAGTGTGCCGATAAGAAGTCCGGCTCTTATCTCAAGTGGTGAACAATCGCAGTCAAAAGAATCTTGGTCGATGATTGCCCATAGCTGTGTCATGGTCAAAAATCTGCGCCATAAAAGTATTTGGGATTGCCTCTAATATCACACACGCGTACATACATGCATAATATTACCTTCAATTAAACAAGGAGTCTTTTTGTTGGCATCTATGCACAGATGGTAAAGCCTGCGTCTTTCCGGAATCACACAGACGCTGCCATGTTCGGTGCTCTGTAATTGCGTGCTCTTAATGCGATTTATATGCGAGATGCAAATGTCGAGCAGCAGCTGCACGAGCTATGCATTTTTGGATGCCTACTGCTGTCGTTCTCCTTGTTGAAACGAAACCCTGAGTTTGGCCTGGCTGAGGCACTCAATTCTCGCATTTTGACAGCGCTTGCTAAGACCATAAATTTATTTTCGTTTCGACGAAATGTCGTCTCGGCGTTGCCAATGTCTCTTCTTTCACACTGTTTCATTTGAAATTAAGAAGCAAACCCACATGTCAGTGTTTTTGAGTGTGTGTCAGCGTTCATGTTCTCCCAAAATTAACACAGGCAAGCAACGGCGGGAAGAATGAGAATATTTATAATATTTATAATGCGTAGAGTCTGTAAAACGACATTTTCGGCCTGCCGTTTGGGTTCCAGATCATAAAATAGGACAAGTACAGGATGTTAAACGGTTACGAAAAGTTGAAACTTGAAATACTTAAAATCATCATGAATAAGGAAAACATCTAACATAGTTCACAGCCAAAAAAAAAATCCGACAATTTAAAATAAAGAAATGTTTTTGGGTCACATCATAAAATAATAAAATTTGATTTAGTGTTTGAAATATGCAATTAATGCTTAACAATTTCCTCTCCGTGCTGACTTTTACAAGTTTTGTGAAATAGTTCTATATTAGTCATTCTACTATCTAGCCAAAAATTCAGAAATCCCCAAATATTATACCCTGAACCCAATAAAAATTGGTAAAACGTATAATGGTATAATGGTTTTGTGCAAATGTATGTAACAGGCAGAACAAAGCATTTCCGACCCTATAAAGTATATATATTCTTGATCAGGGTCAACAGCCGAGTCGATATAGACATGTCCGCCTGGCCGTCTGTCTGTATGAACACGCGGAACTCAGAGATTATCAGAGCTAGAGACTTCAAGTTTGGAATATAGGTTCTCGTATACCCGGCGCAGATCAAGTTTGCTATATTTTTATCGATAACTGCCCCCGTTGCTCGAATATCGATGCTCGAATATCGATACCGGCAGCAATAATTGCTAAAATTTTAAAGTAAGAATCTTGTAATTAATACATTATATGTATATGCATATTATTCATTAACTTCCTAACAAGTTCGAAATATAGTCGAAAATATATTCTCAAATTGATCTCATTTCTATCAGCAGCCCAAAGCATATTCTGTATGCATAAATATGAGAGTGCATGTGTGAGAAAGAGATGGCATCATAATCGATGCGAGCGTCAATTTTGTTTTTTGTGTATTATGCAGAGCCCCGTTACCTACGAATGTGTACGTATACATGTATGTATGTATATGCACGTGTTTGGCGGCAGAGCGCACTTGCAGAGCAGACCTGCTCGCATTTTGGTGCAAAACTTTTCAAAGGGAAATTTGCCAATAAAACTGAAATATATTTAACAATTGGGTTCAGGGTAAATTGTAGTCGAGCGCACTCAACTATAGCATTGTTATTTGGTGATTATGTGAGTTAGACTGTAAATTTTTATTACCAAAAAGTCAAAGTTTCATTAGCACTGTGATATAATTTAAGTTTTATTTTTAGACTTATAATATATAGTTTCTTAATATATAATCGCGACATTAAAAGCTGCGCAAAATAAGTGAAAAGTTATTTTTTCGCGCTTTTATTTTGTAATCTAATATGATCAGCAAGCGATAGGAGCAAAATTTATATAGAAAGTATTTGTAGTGTTTAATTTGTAATTGAAATGGCGACACAGGTGTCTCTGGCTATCAAGCTTTTTAAATGCATTTTTAATGTACGGACTTTGGACAGCTTTTATTCTGCCAATATATTTCTACAGAGTAACCAGCAGCTAAAAAATACATTATTTAGTGCTATAAAATGATACATTTTTTAATTGCACTTGGAATGGTTTCAGAGCTCGCTCAACTTTGTAAAATAAATTTTATTTCCATAAATAGATCAGAGCTTTTGAAGAGTTTAAATTCTAATTACGTTTACTATCTAGAATAAAGTAGAATTTCTTTGATTAACATTTTCGACAAATATCTCAAAAAATTGTAGTTGAAATAATAACGGATAGTTCTTAAAAGTATACAGAAAGTTAACTTTGGTTTAAACTAATTTGCTTGAGCTCAAAAGTATGCATCACGAATAGGAGGCGGATTGAAGTGCTGCTCAAACTATAAATAAAACTATGTCCGATTCCATTTTATATGCAAATACGGCATTGCTTTTGTGATTTTGGTTCGCCTTACCAATTGTGCAGGTCGCCACTAATAATTCAAATATAAGTTTCGCCGACCAAGAACAACGGTCACAAGGTGTTCAGAAAGAACGCATACGGGTGAGTTTTCTCACAGAGCGTGTGGCAGCAACTTAAAAAGCGGCAGCAGCCAAATAATATATGAAACAAATTGTGGCAATTTCCCAAAGGCCGCAGACTCGCAAATGTGACCAGCCAGTGCGAGGCCAGGGTCCTTGGCTCCTTGGCTGCTGCTGCTGCTGCTGCTATTGCTGCGATTTATTGCTGACGAATGCGTTTTCAATTTTAAAGCATGGCATATATGATTTATACATTTGATTTTATTTTTCACGCCAGCCAGCATTTTTTCCTCTCAGCTTAGTACAAATGGGAAATCACTTGCTGGAGCACCCGGGTTCCGACTTTGGATTCGTTTCCTTGCGATTTCGTGTTGAGCACAATTTCGCATCGTTCAATTTATTACTATGACATCGTAAAAAATTATGCTTTAATTTGATTATGATGCTGAGCAGTTGGTCTTGCTGAGCACACACACACTTACACACACTCACACACGTGCTCACACATTGCTATTTACGAGGATTTGTTGTGCTCATGCATTGCGTATACGCACCGTACATCCTTAAAAATTCGTTAAAAAGTTATTGACAAGCGCATCGCGAGGCGAATGATGCGTGCAAAGAACTGCTCTGACTTTCTGCCAGGCACTTCAACGATAAGCCAACAAATCCTGACTTGCACTTAAAGTTGCAGGATAAGCAAGATGGCCAGATATAGTTCATCATACATTTCCGCCCTCTCCCACAGCTAACTGCTTTAATAATAACGAAAAATGTGCAGCAAAATGCCTGTTTTGAAAACAGCTTTTTAATATCCTGCCTTTGCTCTGAGGAATTTCAGATCCATAATGATATTGTTAACGCACGCAAGCATTCATTGCTGAATCTATATCGAACTGTAGAAAGCATAAAGCATATATATTGAATGTTAAAAAAGAGTTAAGCTTCTTAGCGTCAGTCACAAAGCCAACTAATTAATTTGCAACTTCACAGCCCCCTCCACCGGCGCCCCTGTCATCCAGCGGTCGCAGCTGCGCGTCCCTCTTGTGTGCGCATTAAAATCTTAATTTAAATATGTAACTGCTTGTCTATGCTACTATAATCATTATAATCTCCATTTGGCACGATGTGTGGGGCTTGTCTGCATGTTTGTGTTTGTATGTGCTACGTGTCTAAAACACGCGTGTTAGAAACCATCATGTTAATTTCAAAAGGTAATTTCGTCGCTGAGCTTATTATGCTCATTAAGTCATCAGCAGCAGCATCGCTGGCAAAAAAAAATAATATGGGCCAGCACCTATGGCCAGAACGCCTGTCCAGGATCAGTTCATATATCCGCCACAGCATTATAATGAGCACAGCAGCCAACCGCAAACGAGTGCATTTGTTAGCTGTTGTTGCTTAGCCTCAGCTGCTGATTTTGCTGTTGTTGGTATTGTTGTTACAGTGGTAGTCACTACTGCTGGTACTACTTCACTTCATTTTGTACCCTTTCCCAGTTAAGTAAACAATATGGTATCATATGCTCAAATATGTATACGGTAGAAGGATAAGAAATCATCTGCAATTAAATGCCGTCAGATTATCTTAACGTCAATATCCATTGACTTGACATATTTATAGCCACTACAAAAAAATCAATTGGCATCCCTGGCATATTTCAAGGAATAGCATGTTAACTGCCAAAAGATCGGGGTAAAAACTCTACTTGAGAGAGTATATTCTGGTCGGATAGAATATGCATTTTTTCGTATTTGCAGTCAGGAACATCATGAAACGACTGGTCCAGTACATCGAGCGTGAATTAATTTTTAATGATGTTGCGAACTCTCCTGTGCAGCGAAAGCAACTCCCATTTTGTCTATCTCTTACAAGCTGCTTAATGTGTGTGTGCGAGTGTGTGTGCGTTTGTATCCGGTGGACAGTGCCGGATGTAGGTCATTTCAAAAATGGTTTGCCTTAAATTTCCACCGAGCCACATAAGCCACAAGTGTTTTACCGTGCACCACGCACTACGCAACCAAGCACAAACCATGTCATCAAATGAGATGAGCGGCTACAAAGAGAAGGTTAGATGGGTGTGGTTCGTACATGGGCTGTGCCCGTTTAGCCATTAGTTAAGGATCGCTGCAAATATGCGACGAGTAGGTCAACTGCCTAATTAAAAATTATATTCACTCAAAATGTTATGAGCAAACATTTCATAAATACTCTAGCTACCATTTAATTTTCCTTATGCTTAACAAATTCCTTTAAAGATACATGTATCATGTCATTAAAGACTTCTGGGCAACCTTATTTCATGTGAGTCTCACGCCTTTTCCATTTCTACCTGTTCCGGGTTAATCAATTATCCGATTAAT